ATTTACAGTGACCGTTAAAAGCCCTCATCGGTGAGTTTGGTCAGAAAACAGACTTTTATTAATACTCCGGGTACATTTTTGCTTCTGTATACAATATTAATTGAAGTTCCAGGTTGCTTCAGGTTCCACTTCTGTGTGTGTGAATGAAAACCTGCAGACTTCCGAATCTTGCTTGAGTTGTGCAATCATCAAAACATGAAGACACAACTCTGATTGTATCAGCGACAAAGAGACGTGAGCCTACACAAACCAAACACAGTGAACGATATGAAAGAGAGAGCACAAAAACTGAGCCCTGCTTCTCTCTGTGTCGTTGTGACCCTCTATGTGAATGTTTCATAGCATCAAACATCCTAAATAAATGCGTTTTAAAGCTGGAACATAAAGTGAGAGAAGCCTGTGCAAACATCTGGCAGCTGCAGTGGTGCTCAGTCTTATTGAGGACAGCAGCAGCCTGGATGAAGTGGTCTGATCAGTAGCTGAGAATATTCACCATACAATACATGAAATACACTTTTTCTCAGTCTTGTTGAAACATACGTACCCTGATGAAAGTAAATAATAATAATAATAATAATAAGGGCTCTTCTGTAGCTGTTTTATCACAAACTATGGATATTAAAATGGTATCTGTGATATATCAGGTTGATGCTTAAAACACTTTCTGATATATGCACATATATATATTACATAAAAAATACTTTTTTATGTAGACTGGTTACCTGTCCAGGGTGTCTCCTGCCTTCACCCTAAATCAGTTGGGATAGACTCCAGCCCCCCATGACCCTAGTGAGGATTAAGTGGTGTATAGATAATGGATGGATGGATAGATGGATACTTTTTTCTGTACAGTGGAATTTGACGGCTATGTTTGAACTAGTTAAAATATAAAAAATGAATTGAAGCCACCAGGAAAAGTCTCATCTTTGAGCACACATTAACAAAAAAATGATAATGTAGAAGTAAACTAGTGATGTTTCAGAACCACATGTAGTCGCATGTCACAATAGTACAAAACAAAACATATAGTGTAGTTTTTACTATGAAATATATGGTGACAAAAATGAAAAGTTCCTTTTATTAAACTTATTAAGCTCGTATGACAAGTTGTACCACAAAAACAGAAGTTTTGATAGATAGTCTGATCCACACAGAACAGACTTCTGGAGTTTCAAAATGGTTTTCAGAATAAAATGAATTATTTAAAAAATACTTTATTAAATAACTGTGATATTGTCACTCAAACACAGCCTCAATTTTTTGTGCAAAATATAATAAATTGCTTCCTTGCTTCAGTACAGTTTAAAAGTGTTACAGTTTTATGATACTTGAACATTGTAGTTTAAATTTCAGAGGCAAATATTGCACTTTTGTATATGTATTTAAAATCTTTAAATAGAGTTATTTTGCATATTCTGACAGTTAAAACAATAAATAATCAACAAATACACTTTTAAATGATAGATTAAACTACCCAGCACTGAATGAAGAAGCTGAATTAATGAACTCTTTATAACCCACCACTATAATACAGGGTGTAATATTTTGAAATCGGTCATGCCTCATGTTGAGTACTTCAGCTTTTGGTACTTCATGTATATTTTGATGCTCTTACTTTTCTACTTTTATTTAAGTAAAATGCTCAATTATTGACTTTTGCTAATGAAAGAGTTCAACACCAGTCTGAGCGATAAGTGGCCTCCTGAGCAGAGCTCTGAGGTCTGTTTGTGCCCAGCTGAGATCTGGTCTTCTGCCTTTGGCTGTGGAAACTGGACGCCACCACTCAGTCCCAGAGGAGGACAGGAAGTGATCTGGATGAGAGTCTGTTTGATATCACAGATGAATGTACAGTAGATTACAATGTGTGTTTGCATACAAGACATCTGACACAGCTCACTTTGTGCTGGTTTGACTTTTACTGTTTGTTCATTTCATCTTGTTCTGTGGAGGTTTTAGTTTATAAAACTAGAACCTGTAGTCCACGTTACAACACATCATAATATCAGTTATTAGAGGTATTTTTTAATCTTTAAATCCATGTGGCCTTCTGTTGCTGTTTAATTTTAACTGTGTCTACATTCATATGTGCTTCAGCACCACTGATACATTTCCTTCAGTCTTTTCTCTAAATGAGAATAAATTAAATAGAAATTTCGTGTACAGTTTTCAAAGTACTTTCTTCTGAACCACACAAACCTGAACCAGCCTCAGTACATTACACGGTGATAAATCTGTGCTGCTGACTGCTGCCTGATCAAACTGGTTTTGCTTTCACATCATAAATAATGTTCTGTCAACTGCTTTCTACTTCCTCATTTCCTTCATCAAAGTACAAAGTCATAAGATATTTAATCTATTTATACAATGTGACCAACAAAAAAGGTGTGTCCATAACAGAGAACATGTCTTAGCTCATGAATAATCATATTCTTTACTTTACAAGACTTTAGAATTGAAAAGCAAAATCCCACAAAAATGTACAGCACCAAGAAACACATACAGAAAACTATACATATATATATATAGGTTCATTCTAGTATTTTGTCCTCAACAATTTAACATCTCATAATATACTTTACTTTAAAAATCTTTAACTTTTTTTTTCAACTTTTACTACAATTATGTTTAACCAACAGACTATTGATTGAGTTCAGGGAATTAGCTTTTCCTCTACAATCAAAGATATTTTAATTACCGATCTTGACTGTCTGAAACTGTCCTGGCATGTTAAGACACAGGAGGAGACTTGAAATTCCTAACTCAATAAGAAGTTATCAAGCCAATTTAATTAAGTAGCCTCAAATTAAAAGTAACTTCATATCAACTAATGCAGAAATTTGAGTTTAAATTACACACAATGTGAAACTGATGCAACAATAACTCATCAACCCATTAAAACAATGCTCGCAAGCTAAAGTGTTGATCTAAATCACTTTTTTTTTTTTGGAATTGCCCTCACAGTTAGATTTTTTTATTTTTTCTTAAGAAAAGATGACCTTATTTAGGAGGAAAGGAGCCATTCTGGTGAAATGAAAGTCGTTCTGTATGAAAGCTACATATTTGGAAGGGTTTTTTTTTTTTTCGGTTTAAAGGTTTTTATCAATTAGACTTTTCAAATCATGCATTTAATTAATTGGTGCGATGAGTCAGTTTAATTGTTTTTTAGAGCGCAAGGAGAGAATTTTACCTCATGAGTGATTTTGATCAATACAAATATTTATTTTTAAAGTTTTAATGTTGTTAAAACTGCAACACAAATGTTAGGCAACACATATAGACATTGCTTTTGATAGTTTTATAGAAAAATGGCTATTGCTAATTAATAATCAGTTGAATTGATTGAATTAGAATAGAATAGAATAGAATAGAATAGAATTTTTTTTAAAGATCTTTCTAATTAAGATGCAAGTAGAGACTCTTATCTCATGAGTAATTTTGATCAATATAACATTTTTTAAAAAACTTTTTTAATGTTATTTAAAATGCAACATAAATGTTAGACAACATATATAGACATTCTTTTTGATAGTTTTCTAGAAAAGTGAATCTTGCCAATTAATGATCACTTGAATTAATTGAATTAAGATGCACCGATCAAACTTTTTTTTTCTTTTTAGTTTTATTATTTGTGCACTTCAGACATTCAGTCACCAATAAATAAATCCACATCAGTGACCTGTTCAGTGTGATTCCCTTCACGGTGAGGAAGAGACCCACCAGCAGCAGCAGCAGCAGCAGCAGTGAAAAAGTGGAAGTGGTTACGTAAGCCCTACGTAATGGTTTATTTATGTCTCTCGACCAATAAAATCAGCTCAGCCGTCATGACGTAATGCGATCTACTCCAGAATAGCGCGCGGCGGCGGAGGAGCAGCAGCAGCAGCAGCCACACGGATCCGCTGAAGCTCCTTCAGTCCGTCCTTCCTCTCTCCGGTTCCTCCGCTCCATGTTCACGTTTGTTTATGTCGCAGCGGCTCGGTCCACGGTAGAGAAGCCCGGCAGACGGCGGCGGGATGTCGGCGCTGAAGGAGCGGCAGAGCTACGGGCTGTCCAGCGGTAGACTGAGCGCTGGCGGCAACGTCTCCGTTTTTCATGTCAAACTCACTGACAGCGCGGCAAGAGCTATCGGTAGCTTTCAGAGCGGCAAGGTGGGTCCTTTATTTATTCATTTGTTGTAATTTTTACCACCGTTCCCTTAGCGAACAGCCGGCTAAGTGTGTGTACGAGCAGTCACGTTTTGTTGGAGCACTTTGTCATCGTTAGCTTGAGTTTAAGCCGCGAGACGAGGCGGGGAAGGCGGGTTCGGCGTTTCGGCCGAAGTTCAGCAGCACCGTCCCCCTGTTGTTGTTGTCTCCCACAATCCCTCCTTTTAGCTATGAAATGGATATACATGTTGCATAATGCGACGCGGAAACGCTCTCCTGTGTGCGATGCTGCCCGTAACAAGCTGCTAGCCAAGTCTTCCACAAGCTGCTGGCAAGTACCGTGAATGCTAATCAGTGCTGGAGAAGAAAGGAAGCGGCTGTGAGGAGGGAGGAGGGGAGGAGGAAAGGCTGCTAGGAGTAGTAGGAGGATATTAGGAGAGTTTTCATCATTTTTTTTTTTTTTACTGAAGAGACACCAGTTTGGAAGCTGGATCACATTTGACCCAGTTCAAATGAACAGAAGCTGCAGGAAGCCGAACACAGTCATGCATACTTCCTCAATTCACTAATTCCTTGTAATGCTGATTGGAAACTCCTCAGTGAGGAAATGACAGCATTTCTGATGAAAGATGAAAACCACACTTGCTCCTGTCATGTCTCCGTAGTGTTGAGGTAAACAGAGAGGATGGGGGAAACCACCTGATGCACCCTACAGCAGACACGCTATTGTTCCTTTGCAGGCATTGGGTGTCTTTATATAGCTCTGAGCATGGCTACTCACAACCTGCTCGGCCTGATCACAGATATATTTATACGTATATAAAAACAACACCACCTCCACATGCAGCTGGGCCACACTCTGCACTGGCAGCCAGCCGCCTCACTTTCTGCACTCATCAACAGGTGGACTTCACAAAGCCTCCCTCTGAAAAGGTCACGCAGCCATTCAAGCCATCGCATACTTTCCATCCGTGCTGCAAACGTGTCACTTTGGCCTGTCGGTTCTGCGTTTTCCTACAGGCCAAGTCACCCCCTTGCCAGAGATGACACTGTTTAATTGTACTCTCGGTTTATCAGTATTGGAGCAGCAGGGTGTAGTGACCTTCTGTCTGCGCTCTCTCTTTAAAATCTAATTAAACTATGTAAAGGACGCTGGATGAACAAGCATGTAAATTAATAGTCGGTTTGAAATCTATATACACATCTGTGGTCAGGAGGAAAATAAGCACTCAAATCACAAAGAGATGTGATGATCTGATCTTTATGCGCCAACCTGATACACTGGGTTTAGGTTATTAAAAGGATTGGGTATTGACATTTTCATTTATTTGCATTGCACTCAAACCCTTGTCACACACATGTTAGGCTGTTAAAAGAGGAAAATTCAGTGCAGCAACCCCAGAAATCAAAACCTACATTACCCATAATGCACCTCCACCACCAGCAGCTTGCTCTGACATGAGCTTGTGTTATGTTAGTTGAAGCTAATGTTGCCAAGATTGGCTAGACGCTAGCAGAGATCATGAGTGGGCTATGGAGGATCTCATAAGCTCACTTTCTAAATCCACAACTCTGTCGTTTAAAATTTTAAAGCTGGTAGTCTTCGGTCCTGCCGATGATAACTTAAGTCAGGGGTGTCGAACTCTGGTCCTCGAGGGCCGCAATCCTGCATGTTTTAGATGTGTCCTTCTTCCAACACACCTGATTCAAATGATCAGGATCGTTATCAGACTTCTGCAGAGCTTGATGATGAGCTGATCATTTGAATCAGGTGTGTTGGAAGAGGGACACATCTAGAACATGCAAGATTGCGGCCCTCGAGGACCAGGATTGGACACCCCTGACTTAAGTGATCTCAGGTGAGGTACGACCCCAAAAACATAAAAGATTCAGCACGCGCAGTCGTATAAAAACAAGCAGATCGAAATAGAAAATCAGATCTGCTGTATACACGATGCACAGATATGAAGAAACAGAACAAAGAACAATAAAGACTAGTCGCTGTATTAAATGCCATTTTGGTGTGTCTGACATCAGCTGACGTGTGGATGGCAACAGGGCCGACACTCAGTTACTGACTACCGCAACGAACAGATATTTTTTCATGGTGGGAGCTGAGCTTCCAATTTAGTAAGCCTCACCTTCACAGCTGCGAAAAGACAACATTTATTGTTTATCATTCTGGCAAAAGGAGGCAGAACCTGAACAGCACCGGCACATCCAGCAAGAGGAAAAGTGAGAGACTGCTGACAAATGCTGTTGCACTAAAAAAATGTGACTAAAGTGCAGTAAAACTTTATTTTTTATCAATAATTTTTTTGGGGGGATTATCTGTGGATGTTTATTTTGTTGATGTTATTTTTGTACATTTAAAATGAGTCCATTTAAGTGAACAGACAAACTGCAAGTGTTCGTCATGGTGTCTCATTTGTTATTCAAATGCTAGATTTTCATCAGATGCAAAAAAAAAACATCGACACAAGACAATGTTAGTATTAAATATCAGCCACTTCTCTAAGTATCGGCCTATGCAGTTTGAAAGCCTTATCAGTAATGATAGTAGTCAGAAAACCACAGCCAAGGTGGAGACAAAAGCACTCGTACATTGAGGTGCAGGTAACAGAACGACCTCTGTGTTGAATGTTTTACAGACAAACTGTGCTGGACTGTTATCATGCGTGTGTGTGAATCTGTGTGTTCATGGATTCCAAAACACATGTAAATCAACCACATGTGTTCTCTCTTTCTCCAGGGCTGCTCTTCCCATCCCACCATCTGTTTTAGTGGCAATAAAGGGGTAAGAAGGACCGGTCTTTCTGCTCACGTGCAGTCATTCATCATTTGATCTCATATGTTTTGTACAACTTAGAGGTCAAATCTCAGTCTCTGTACTTCTGTTTTTCCTTTTCTCTCACAGAAAATCACCATCCCGTGTTCAGAGAACAGAGATGAAGTGAGGATTTTCACCTTTGGCGTGACTAACGTTGCCCGTGACAATCCACATGGAAGCTTCGATTGCGTCAAACAGCTCAGCACTGGGTAAAAAAAAAACAACATTATCACATAAAACATGTAAACAACCGAGGCTTCTTTTAGCAAAGGTCGAGTTTATTCTGATTAAATTAGATTTCAAGGGAAAAAGTGCATGTCATAAGTGTAGGGTTGCATAAACATGAGGGCTGTAAGCATGTTTTTGTTCCACAGTGATGACATGATTATATGTTTACTTTGTGATCTATATATAGAATTAGCCGGCTGTCTGAATGAGTTTAAATATTTTAAAATGTCTCCGCTCTGCTGCTGTGTGAAAGCCACCCTGCTGTTTTAAATGCCAGGGGAAACCCAGGGTTCCTGACTGTACATGTCTAGGAAAGCACAGAAATGCAGAGAAGTGAGTTTGATAAATGTCAGGAGCTGCGACAAGTTTAGGAGTAATCCACCTCATAATCTGTTAAATATAGAAGTCATTCTGGTAATAATACATCTAACTAAACCTAATCATCAGCAAAGCGACCCTGCGCTGAGAAACGATGTTTTGTTTGAAATGGATAACGTGTAGAAGGAGCCCTGAAAGCTCTGTCAGATCACTGACTGTGCTCATCCTCTCAGTGCTGCCGAGGAGCTGTCATGTCTCGGGGTGATTCAGAAGAAGATGACAGTGAACGCTACAGATGACTCGTACGATAAAGCTCGTCAGAGCATGGCCCAAGCTGAGGAGGAGACACGCAGCCGAGGGGCCATTGTCATCAAACATGGAGGGCGTTACCAGGGTAGGAAGTATAGAAGACACTCCACAGAGTCTGCGTGGTTGTACAACAGATAACTCCGGCTAAGGGATAAGATTGGCCTGAAGACAAATTTGTACTGTGCTGATAATATCCAGAAAACACTGTCAGCCATATTGCATCAGTTGCTGTGGCAACATGTGTAGTAACCAGTGACATAGTAACAGTCTCTCTTGTTTTGCCTGCATGTTTTGTCCTTTTGTGTGTGTTTTTAGTTTTAACTTTCAGTATACCACACACAGACATATTGTGTACGTTTAAGTGTGTATCACAGCTGTATGTAATACTGTATTTTGTGTCTCGAAAATCTACAAACCCAGACTGTGTTCTGCACAAACTCATCACGCATACATGTAAATGATAAACCAGTGATTTAGCCATTTTCTTTTTGTGCCACCGCTGCGTTTCTATTTCCAACCACAAAACCACTTCCTTCGAAACGGGCTTGTCAGACGGCGTCATCTTCTCTCTCTGAATGCACACAAAGAATCATCAAAACTAATGTGTGCAGATATGTTCGTGAGCATGGGTGGTGGATGAGCCTGTCGGTTCAAAGGAAGCTTAAAAAAAAAAAAACTTACTCACTACAGGCTTGTGCAAGCGTGTGGTTATTTCCTAATTTAGGTGGCAGCTTTTGCTCACTGAGATGCATCTTTTTAACCTAAATGTGGGTTTCTGAAGAGGTGAAATGAGGTCTTTCCTCCTTGAATCTGCAGTTCTACCGGCGGAAAGAGTCGAGGGAGAAAAGTCGTTGTCCTCTCGCGTCTGATCTCACCGCATCAAGCCTGAAATAGCAATATTAACACACATTTACAACCCAGTCACTTTCTAATGAGTGGCATTTTAAGAAAAAAAAACCAACAAGCACTACAGCAGGAGGTTACCTTTGATGATAGAAACCTCAGTAAGGCCCCTGTGAACCTCATAAGATCTCTTTTGAAGATGTTTTCATGCTTTATTCTAGACGTGCTTCTTTTGATGTGAGATTTCCTGCTTCCTTATAGGCAAGAAAGTTACCGTGCGAGCCCCGACCCCTGCGCTGGCCAGCCTGACCAAGCCCAAACAATCCTCGTCAGCGTCCCTTCTGGGCAGCATTAAGAAGGGTGTCGGCACGTCAAAGCTGAAGAAAGGTGCCTGTACATCGACCAGGAAGAGCGCGGAGGAGGTGCAGGAGAGGCCCCTGAGGGAGAGAGTCACTCACCTGCTGGCTCTGAGGCCGTACAAGAGGCCCGAGTTGATCTTGAGGCTTCAGAAAGATACACTGACAACAGGAGACAAAGATGTGCTGGACTCGGTTCTGACGGAGGTAAGTTTTCTTCTTATTTAACCTGATGCATATGTGCATAAGAGGAGTAATTTTGGAGCATGCAGGGCTGTGAAAATCGTTGTTTTGCATGTGTGCTCTTGTTAAATTCATATCAAGTTTGCATTTTGCAGAAATCTAAACACATGAATGTTAGACCCAGTTTTGGGGATCAAATGCTAAGTCACCACAAAACAAGAATGTGAATGAATGGAATGAGGTAACCGAACCCTGAGCTCTGAAAATAAGTGTTCTCTTCTGTTTTTGCATTTGCAGGTCGGCCAGCTCAACAGAGACAACACGTTTGTTCTGAAGGACAATCTGTACAAGGAGCTGCAGAAGGACTGGCCCGGCTACACCTCAGGGGACCAGCAGCTTCTTAAACGCATTCTCGTCAGGTAACTCAGATAAGGATGCACCTGCTGACTTTTTCACATCATCGAAATGTCACCAATATGCAGTTAGTCAAATAAGTTTTTCGGAAACTGTGCAGCCCTCGGGAACTTTGCTCAGGAACTGAGTGAGGTTCTGGGGTTCTCTCAGGACACAGCGTTAGTATTTCCTTGAGCTAAAGAACTGTGGAGGTAGAGTAAAAAACATTTTAAAAGTTTGGCCATTTAGCACAGTATTTCTTTCACCTGTGTTTCTCCTTTACATTGTTCAGCACATTATTCACAAGCTGATCAGTGCTTGTGTCTATACATGTATGAAGGTGGCTTTTTGTAACAACCTGAACTTACAAATTCATCTATAAATCCAGGCTTCAGGGAGCTACAATCCCATTTTACCCCCTTCTGAGGAAAAATCTGGCCTGGGATCGATGTTAGGCTCAGATTATTTGAGAGGTTTACAGATCCAGTCTTAAACCTCCCGATCAGCTTGCACTCACTGGGGCGACCTTATCAAACATGTTTGATATGTGCAAAACAAAACTGAGATGGCGATGATTGTTAGGCTAGCAAACAGACAGCAGACATTAAGGCTAACTTACGCCACACATATTAAAATCTCACCTCCAGTTCTCACTAAAGAGCCTTGTTGACGACATCTCCCTAAACATGTTCTCATCCTGACTTCTGCTTTTGTTTTTCATTTATTTGTTCTCATGAGAAAATATTAGTAGCGTTACAGTTGTTGCACCACTTTTGTTTACATCTGTGTTCATATGTGATCGATGCTCCCTGGTTGCTCCTTTTGGTCCGTTTTCCTAATATGCTGCAGTGTGTGATGTGCCATTATTTTCCAGTCTTGTAATGTCTATATTAGGGATGAACAAGTGATATTGTGGTTATTTTGACAGATACTGAGATTGTGATATGAGTTGCAATTTTGTGGGATTTGTCATCTTTGCACTTCTTTTCCATCGGAAACCAAAAAAAAACCATATTTGCTGCAGCCTTTACCCACCAACAGTGTTTCTTTACTTCTGGAGGATATGACTTATTGGGTGGTGGAGCATCTCTGCAGCACCACAATACTAGATTTTTTTTTTTTTAATGCTATGTTATGACACAGCTCCGGCGATCTGGATATTGCATTCGTCTGTACTGCGATTTCGTATCCGTGAAGCTTCCTCTTATGTGCGTGACTCAACCCGATTTCAAAATCTGGAAGGATTGTAAAGCTCTAGTCGTGTGAACTCAGCAGAATTAGGTCAGGAGATTAGAGGTACACCATTTCCCCCTGATAGATTTCGTGATTGATAGATTTCCTTCTGAAGAAAGCGGATTTTTAATCTTGTTTTTAAATCTACATATGGTTTTTATGTGCACGTAAACACGCTGTCAGACCAGCATCAGCAGTTCAGACCTGCATGTTTAATCATTTTGAAGTATTCACCTTCTCATTCAAGGGTTTTTTGGTTTATTTATTTATTTTTACTTTTGTTAACAGTGTGGAACAGGATTGAACACATCAAAACTGTAGATACATGTGGAATTTTGTTGTATGAGGAGAAAAAAAAGTGGTAAAATGTTTGCTTTGCCTGCATTATGGGTAATATTTTAACCAGTTTCATCAACCTGGGATGGTTAACAACTAACAGATGAACCTTTTCAAGCATTAGTTGGGGGTATTTCTTGTCTTCTTAAATTGGAAATCTTGAAGATTTCAGTCCCGGTTGATTTGGAGACACCTGTAATTACCGGTGCTAACAGCAAATGTGGTTTAATGCTACAGGCCAAAGAATTATTGGGGCAGCAAAACAAACTGCTGTCATTATGATAAAGAAGTCAAGCAATAATTGGCCCTTAACCATCATTCTGTGAGCAACCGTGATCTAATTTTATGCAGCTCTGCGAACAGCAGGGCACAGTGAAAGTGAAAGGTGGTTACCTCGCTGAGAAGTTGGAGGTGTGCAGCTTGTCGCCTGCAGCTCTTCATCTCACAGCTCACTTTGGCTGCTCCTTGTTTCACTAATAATGAAAATATTTCCAACTAATCCGCTATCAAAAATGCAAAAAAAAAAAGAGAGGTTTTTTGTTGTAGTTGCATTTTTGATGAATGATAGCAGTCAGTGTTGCGCTCTTTAATAAATATGTTTCCTGTGGCAGCTTCATGATAAAAGTCGACTCATGTTTCACCATTTAAATGATTTTATAATGTGAAGCTGCAGCAGTAGGAAATGTTCAGTTTGCATTTGTAGTAACTTAATATTACATTTTTTCCAGAATGTAATGCTTCAGATAGTGTATATATATAAATATTGCAATGCTTTCTTCAGTGGGCCACAGGGAGAGTCATCGTTGTGTTACTCCATTTAGCAACAGATAAAGACTTAACAGACATTTATTTATACACAAGTCTTGGAGTTTGCCAGTTTGTTAGAAACATCAGTTGTGTTGTACTGAAGTAGGAGTTGGTATTCAGCAAATGTCATGACATGAAGATGAGTCAGTCCAAAAAAATTCATGCATTCTTTCAAAAGCAGAAGCAAAAACCATCAAACAATGAAACTAACTGTCACGAGAACCGCCTCAGAAAATACAGATCCTGCTGCAGGGCCTCAGACATCGCCACCTTGTTAGCGTTCCAGCAGCAGATACACATAAAACATACAGCTGCAAGCAGACTGTGTGAATCAGGCCTTCGTGGTTAAACTGCTACAGAGAGAGAAGCCGAAGGTGAGCGGATGGTTTCTGCATGTGTGGTTTCCACTGTGAAGCTCGGAGGACGAGCGGTGGTGATGACACCTTTGACACATTATTCAGAATTTGACAAGTAACCAGCAGAACTACTACAACACTCGCTTAGTGGGTTTGTGTTTAGAGGAATGATGGCCTAACATGCACCTCCAGACTCTGTGAGGTCAGTTTGAAAGTGAAGGAGAGTGATGAAGCTCTGACCTCCACACTCACTCGTCCTCGTGTGTAAAGACTAAAAGGCAGGTCAGGTGGTGAGCTCATGAAGCTGGTTGAGAGAATGTACAAGATGTGCAAAGCAAAAGGTGGATACGTTAATGAATCTAAAGTTTTAAACAGCTTGGTTTACTCTTTTTGCTTATGTGTTTATACTGTTTGACCAGTAAAAAAATAAAAGAGGAAGGGTTGCAAGTAAACACTCACCGGCTGCAGGTGACACAGCTGCAGTTTTTCATTGGTGCCCTTATTGTTGGTCTGAGGTCTCACATTCAACACCTGTTCACTACGACGCCTCCTTCCCACGTCAGCTTGTGTTTATCTGCAGGACTACGCGGCCACAGCTGTTATACTTACACTGCATGTAAGAACAAACGCGTAGAAAATATTAGTTGTGATTAATGTGCGTTCCTTTCTTTGCAGGAGACTGTTTCAACCTCAGCAGAACCTCCTCGCTGTCCCCGAGGCCCAGGTCAGCCCGCTTCGAGACACCCCCAACTCCTCACCAGCCCACCGTCCAAAACACTCGCTGCCAGAGGAATACACCGACCCCCTGGCCAACAAGAAGCCCCGGATATCCCGCTTGTCGGGCAAAACGGCCAACGACAAGTCGAGATCGAAGCCGTCTGAACAAGCGGCTTGCAAAGACTCTTCAAAAGCGACAGCCGATGACGGACAAAGGAACTCGCTGGATCCTAAAAGACTTTTTGACACCTTGTCGGCAGTTTGTAAGCAGGAAGAAGAGGTGGCTAAAAGGTTAGAGCCAACTCTTCCTCCTGCCCAGGTGAAGACTGAGGACTCTGCAGTTTTCGCTAAACCTAACTCCGATCGCCCCCCATCCCCTCTGGTAGTACCTGAACTCAGCAAACACGCTATCAAGAAGAAAAAGAGCAAACACAAACACAGAGACCACGTGAGAAAACTGTTTCTTATTCTGGTTTTGATAGTTTTTACTTGTCGTGTGATCTGTTGCTAATTTGGATTTGTTTTTAATGATCAAGGATAAGGATCGATGGAGAGACAAGAGAGAAAGGAGGAAAGATCACAGGTCAGAGGATCCAGACTTCAAAGTCTCGGCGGACTGTACAGGTGAGGACTGACAGTCGATGACCTGAAGCATCACTTGTTCAGTATTTTTTCAGTTGATTAACATTGGTTTTTTTTTCTTTCAGAGCCAAGTGACATTTTGTTTGACTCTAAAGTGTTTGAAGTGGACAGCAGCACACCAGACTACATAACGTAAGTAGTGTTTATTTGTAGTTCTATTCCATATAAGTGATGGTTAAAGGCTGTTTTCTTGTCTTGATCTGCTTCATTTTCATTGAGAACAGAATCAGGGAATCGTGTGTGAGATCTGACCAGTAGTTTCCCTTTGCTGTCTCTGCACAGAAAGTACGCGGTGATTGGCAGCCTCGACCAGAGGCAGAACTACAAGCAGGACTTCAACAAGGAATACAGCGAGTACCGAGACCTGCACGCTCGCATCGACGGCGTGACGCGGCAGTTCATGGAGCTGGACACGCAACTCAAGCGGCTTCACCACGAGTCCCTTAAATACAAGGTAGATAGAAAGAAACGCTGCAGCGGGATAATTTCATAGCCGTCATAAAGCTTAGTCATAGGGAGCTTTGAAAGAGATAAAAATCTAAGTTTAGATCAACACTCACCCCCTGCGCTGTAGGCTTGTAAGTTTATAGAGGCTGTAGGCAGCTTGAATTCATGTCACCTTTAAAGGAAAATTCCATAGAAACTTCTGCTCGTCTGCCCGTCCTGCTGCACACTCATCTTCGCCCCTGTGCATGATGAGTCTTTGTTTCACACTTCAACTTATTTTTGTTCCTTGTTATCAGCCTGTATGACTCTGAAGCTACCTCAGAGATTAAAAAAACAAAAGCAAACAGAACACTGGCATTTTTGCTAAATGTTTCAGATACACCGAGTCGGGATGCAACCATCAAAAGTTCAATAACTGCCACAACTTGGGGTGAAATGCTTCAGTCATGCGTCATAATATTTTCGTGGGAAACTTAAAGACATCTAAAGTGCATATTTGCAAACATTAAATGAAAGTTCCCCACGATTAAACTCTTAAACTCTGTGAGGACATGGACATCCACAAGTATAGTTATTCAGAAAGAAATATTCTGTTTTACATAAGAAACTTTGGAGTTTCCTTTCTGGCAAAACCTTATTTATGCATATATTTATTTAGATATTTATATTCCAGCAGCTGTAGTGTTTAATCTTTACATCCATTTAATTGATTTTATTTTTACTTTGAACCTTCCAGCTTGATATTCAAATTAGGTGTTTTTTTTTTTTTTTTAGGAATTCTCCAGAACTGTTGTTGAATGCACGAAGTTAACCTTAAATGTCATATTACAGCAATTGATGCAGGTTATGCTCATGCTTGGTTAAGACTCTGTTATTTCTGGTTTTCAAGTTTTACACATTAGTAAGTATGATGTGTAGTCGCGTTAAAAGTGGAGTTAGAGTTTTTAGAAAGCTTTTTTTGTGTCATTTATCAAGCTTAACTGAAACAATGCACCGTAATAAATAATTCTTGTCTCTATATTTTCTCTTGCAGACGGTTCACAATCAAATTGTTCAAGAGTATCGCAAAATTAAGAAGGTAACTTTCTGAGAACTTGAATGTTCTTATTCCAAGACTGCTGCTACATGGATAGTGACGCCGCTCCTCTCTTTTGCTGCCACATAATCTGGATGTTTGTATTTTGTCCGTTACAGTCCAACCCCAACTACAACCAGGACAAGGTTCGTTGTGAATATCTACACAACAAACTGGCCCACATCAAGAAGCTCATATCGGAGTACGACCAGCAGCAGCTCAAAGTGGACCGTTCCAGCGCCAACTGAAGAAACCTCGCCGAGAGACGAGTGAACTTATCGAGTACAGTAAACATCCCGAGGCAAGGGAAGGATCACGCTGCTGAGCTGAATGCCGTCGAGCTGGAGTCTACGGCTGAACGCGGTCTCACGAGAGCTGCTGTAAATGTCAGCGAGGTTGGGAGACATTTGTGGAGACCAGCTGTGCAACAGTAATGGTGGGGGAAAGAAAACAAGCCCTTTAATATGAGACCTTTTCTTTGAAACTGGTTTGACCGAAGGGCTACCACTACAGCAACATGATCCGGGCACAAGGTGACAATAGTTTTTACAAAAGCCCTTAAGCTCTTACGCTTGAAACTGAAGACGGACGTGGAGATGAGGTGCTAAACGTTATTTTAAAAAAAACAACAAAAACATTTTGTAGATTCCGATTCTCGTCACACATTTTATTTTTTTTGTGAAATCAATTTGAGTATTTGCTTATGTGTTCTGTCGGTGTTCACGTTTTACGGTGGAAGCATGAGAAAACTGTACATAATCACAGGTGATGGTCACTTCTGATGGCAGCTGGGATGCAGATGTGTCCTGAGAAGACATCTGTCCATCAGTGTTCTGTGGGTTTGGAGAGATTATCGGTGTTCGTTTGGCCGTCCGTTCAGGCCGACTGAGTCCTGAGTTTAGCCAGTGCCTCAAATTGTTCCTTAATTCTGGACTGAAATCATAGTATTCTACTGGTGTTATTGCTTCACGTGGTGTTCCAGGGTCACAACAGACTGTTAGGTTGATCATAATGTGAACTTAAAGTTGTATTCAGGGAATGTACAGTATGAGCGTCAGTCAAAGTGTATATTGAATCTGGTTTTAATCATCAGGTGGAGGAACGTTGTGGGATTATTGTTCATGTAGGATGAGACGGTATAGAATCGAGAAACAAAGGTTTTGTGGCATGCTGTGTACTTTACAGAAAGCATGATGAATAAATCAAGAGATTTTGTCTGAGTTCCAAATAAATCCATTTGTATTGACTTTGTCGTCCTTTTCCTCATTTGCTGTCTGTTTTCTTTTATAAAGTCAAGCAAAAAGTTCAAAAATAAGCAAGGAGTAGGTATAAATGAGCTAAATCAGGCATACAGCAAATCATATTGTACCTGATGATGAGCTGATAACACCGTCTGCATGTTTTTATCATCAAGCATGTTCTCTTGACCTTTTTAAAAAAAAAAAAAAAAAAAGATCCAAAGTGTTATTTCTTTCCCTGATGAGCTGAACCTTGCTTCAGGTTTCCAGAAGCTTGACTGATTTGGATGTACAAGACAGACGTACAGCTGAAACAAAAATAAACAAAGACAACCCACATAAACAACTAGTATGTCAGGTCAGTGGGTATAATATAGGTACAGCCTGTGTATTTTTACCTTTGACTGTAAATAGGTATTATGTACATGCTATTGCATAACTAGAGTCCTAATGTGACTCAGTCAATCAGTGCTTTATCCGAGACAAGTGCTCTAAAGATAAGGTCTACCGCATGTATCTGAGAGAATCATTTCAAATCTACATGTTAACATGGGTTGTTGGTCAACTTTTCAATATGATGTCTGTCTGTTGTTCTCTGTCATTTACAATACAATATACAAAAGTGTGCTTATTATGAATACCTCAAAATTAGAAAGTATAAATAATTAGGTTAAAAACAGATTTTTAAACATGTTTTTATTTTCTGATTTTAAAAAGAATCTAGTCAAGCAGCTGTAGACCAGTTGTAAACTGCATGTGCTCAGACATTGGCACATTTTGAGTTCATTTTTAAACCCAAGTCCCAATTTAATTACACAGATTTCAAGGGACGTGTGTCTGGGGAAAAAATAAATGTATGTCTGCAGACGTGTGCGACGGACCTGGTGGTAAATAGCTAAGAGTCTGTAATTAAGTATAATCACTCTAAATCTTAATTTGAAATAACTTCAATCATCATTGGCTGTTCAATGATAATAAAAGGTCCGCAGCTATTGGCTAACTCTGAAAGCTGACTTCTGATTGGTCCATTCTCCCCCCCGTGACCTTTCACCCCAGCTTCCTGCACTTGCTAACAGCTAGTTGTAAACATTGAAAATGCCATCTTAAAGCAGCGGAGTCGTCCTTGAACTTTGTGACAGACGTCGCACTGCGATATTACACAATAAAGACACGCGGACGGAGACATGCGGGCTGTTAAATGAGCGTTTGTGGTGAGTTAATGAACATATTTCTGTCTAATGTCTTCTCAATCTGTGTGCTAAACATGCTAGCTAGGCTAACTGAAGCTGCAGCTTCAGGTGCGGGTGCGACTCGTGAAATTAGTGAGTTGTTGTAAAAACAGCGACATATCTTAAGATGTTTGTTAGTGGTTTGTTAGATCGGTGCCTCGTTGCAGGAAAGCAGCTTGCAGAGAGAATAACGAAGCATTACGACTTTCTGAGTGTAGGAATAGCATCTAACATTGTAGCGTTATTAGGCAAAGCATGCAAATAGTTCGCTCTGAAGGATAAAAACAGTTGGTGAACAAGGTTTGTTCTTTCACTGCAGTGTCACAAAGGTACGATCCGGCAGGTAGATAAACATCTCATACCTCTTATGTCAATCATATCTCATTTTATAGCTGTTCCATTTTTAATATATTTACTGAGATACAACTGCAAGACTGTTCTCAGGCTTTCCTTTTTGTGTTGGCATCTCTGTGGGAGCACCGCATGTAAAGCTGTTACTGAATACAGTGAATTTATTACTTCAAAAACAACTATCTGATTTAATATGAAATACTCACAAACTTCAGTCAGGATTAAGAAAAATAAAAGTATTCAATATGTAGAAAAAAAAAATCAGGTTGCCATCATTGGATTGATGAAGTTTAGACACATAGAATAAAGTGTGTCTGTAGTTTGCTTTTCAACCTAATATTAATAAATGAAATAATTCTATATAACACTTTTCAAAGCAAGGTGTACAAACTGCTTTGACAGACAAAGCAAAAGCAGGATAGTCAGAAGGTAATGACAATAATCAAGAAAAAATTTTCAAACAAGAAGACATCAAATGCAAAAGGCAGTGTGTCAGTATTAGTGAAGTCACAGTTTTATAGCACTTTTAAAGTTAACGGACATGAAGCCAAAGTGCTTTCCAACAGAGATCATATTTCTATTATAAATTTCAATATTAAGGTTAAGACCCGACTTTATTATTTGTTGAGTAAATTTAACTGAGTCAGTTAAAGGTTTTGTTGATTGTGCAGAATTTTACTTTGAATTGAAACATAATGGTTTGGACTCAACAACTTCATTATATATAACGTAAAGTAACCTCTAACTTGAATGCTGGAGTTAAGAAGCTACTGTTTTTTTAGACTCTAATAAATTGCCTAAATAATTTAAAACTGTGATAAATACGGTTTCTCTAAACTCAGAGTCTGCTTTACTGTGGGGCAGTCATCTTAGATCAGAGCAGCTGTTTGCTAATGAACAAACACAAGCCACAAAGTTGGAATTTGTCTCACCTTCCACTTATCTAATTCCAACTCCACTACCACCTAAGTAAGATAAAAATATCTGACCTTTTTTAATCTACTTCTTTTCTTCAGCCTGCTTTGCCACTTCTGCATACGGTCTCTCCAGTCATGGCAGGAATTTTCCAGAGAACAGTGAGGCTGAGGGCAGCTCTGAGACATCTGTGCCCCCACAGCACCCTCACATGTGCAGCCAGACCTTCACCTGCAGACAGCCCATTTCTTGCCTGCGGCTCTGGGCAGTTTGTGGCCTCCACTCGTAAGCTGCACGCTGAGCCCAAGTCCTCCCCTGCTGCAGCCCCAGAGAGGCTGCCTTTTTCCAGAGTAACAGAGGAAGATTTGGCCTATTTCAGGAAAATCCTACCAGGCAGAACCATCACTGACCCTGATCTGGTTGAGTCCAGTAATGTGGACTGGCTCAGGACTGTGAAAGGTGAAGTCTAAAACTGTACTCAAGACATTTTGCTTGATGCATTTCATTACATGGATTTTCTGACGTTTATGTCCCGTTCTTCTGTTCCTGCAGGTTCTAGTGAAGTGCTGCTGAGACCTCAGACAACAGAGGAAGTGTCTCAAATTCTCCGGTAAAGAGCAAACAGTAGATAAACAGACACAATGTCTTTATCTGGTCCCAAAGCTGCTTAAGTTGTTTTGTTTTCCTCCTGCAGGTATTGTAACAGTCGTAACCTGGCGGTGAACCCTCAAGGAGGTAATACTGGGCTGGTCGGAGGCAGCGTGCCAGTTTATGATGAGATCATCCTCTCCACCTCTCTTATGAACAACATCCTCACCTTTGATAATATCTCTGGTATGTTTCATCCAAAACAAGTTGTCACTTCAAAAAAGGTTTTTAAAACATACTATTTTTTTTCTCCCAAATGCACATGCATCATCCTGCATTATTCCTTCACTCTTATTGTCAGGTATTCTCACCTGTCAGGCCGGTTGCGTCTTGGAGAACTTGTCCCTTTACCTGGAGGAGAGAGACTTCATCATGCCGCTGGATCTGGGAGCAAAAGGTAGCTGCCAGATTGGGGGTAACGTGGCAACTAATGCAGGTGGGCTCCGGCTGCTGCGATACGGCTCCTTACATGGGACTGTGCTGGGCCTGGAAGTGGTGAGTGGAGTAAATAAAACATGGACTCTGATGCCCATTAACAAATATTGTGTTACAACTATGGAAGATAAAGGGTTAATATTCATGTTTGTGTGTGTAGGTGCTGGCAGATGGACGGGTGCTGGACTGCTTGGCCACCCTGAGAAAAGATAATACAGGATATGACCTCAAACAGCTCTTCATCGGGTCAGAGGGAACGTTAGGCGTCATCACTGCGGTGTCCATCCTTTGTCCACGGAAACCCAAATCTGTTAATGTGGTTTTCCTGGGTACGATTTTATGTTTTCTTTTTCCCACATCTGTGAATGTAAATAAATAAATGATCCAGATCTAGATGAGACGAGCAGCTAAACTCTACAGTCCTTCAGTCATATGTGTGTTGGCTTGTAGGTTGCGAGACCTTCGAGCAGCTGCTGAAGACATTTCAGCTCTGCAGAGGCATGCTGGGAGAAATTCTGTCAGCCTTTGAGTTCCTGGACAGCGAATGTATGAGGCTGTTGAACACGCACCTCAAACTACCGAATCCCATCTCTGGTAAATAAACACATGCACACGTGTAATTACTGTATGAAACAACTAAACACACATGGACCAACCTGTTCCCTATATTCTACAGATTGCCCGTTCTACATCGTCATAGAAACATCTGGATCTGACCCGGAGCACGACTCGCAGAAACTTCACAACTTTCTAGAGGAGGCGATGACATCAACATTGGTTACTGATGGAACGGTAGCAACCGAGGAGTCCAAAATAAAGGTAAGTGGATGTTGTTGTTCCTTAACTTTTAAAGGATAAATCTGGTGATATTCTTGGATTTTCTTACGCTCAAAAATCGCATGTCACATGACAGGAACCCACAATATTTTATTTTTAATTGTGTGTGTAGCCAGAGCCTGTTATAGTTTGTGCCGCAGAGCTCCGTTGTTTTCCATGAAACTATTTAAAACAGACTCGTGAGCCACACTGATGCACTGGGTGACTTGTGTCTTCATTATAATGATTTCAAGACACTGTGGGCTATTTTGAGTCCATCCCACATACACCATCCAGCTGCTGTAAATACTGTCTGGAGCAGCAGAGAACCGCAGATGAAAATCATCCCCAACAACTGCAGGAGCTGCACAATCTCGTTTAGGTAGCATTTGCTTAAAAAAAAAAAAAAAAAAACAGGAAAGTTTAGTTGGCTTTGGAAATTATTTAGCCTTTTTTTTTAAATGTATTTACTTGTATTTACAACCATTTTTTAAAGATTTCCTTCTCCAGTAAGATCAAACATCCTTCAGGCTTCCCACCACACACAGGGAAGAGACATTGGAAAGTTTTGAGAGATGCTAACAGTGCTGCTTTTTGACCATAACAAAAAGAATATCATACCAGTCATATTCTTTTTAGGTATTCAGTCTCGTATGGTTTCTTAAATATTTGTAACTCTTGTGTAGGAGGGGTTTTTCCTGCATAAAGGAGTTTTTGGCGCCACCCAAAAAGGTTTCCACCAGAACCAAGGACACAGTGCCAGAATGATAAGAACTGAAAATTCAGCTTTTTTTAAATTCTACTTTTGTTAATTGCAGTTTAATTTACTCAAGCATATTAGACATTTTAGTTTCTATCATGGTCAGAAATAACAGGTACATGCATAGATTTCTGCAGAACAAGGTAACACAGACTCATTGCCTTTGCTCGAGGTGAAATGATCATCTTCCTTCTGAGCAAGGTAAAGCCCCAGTAGATACGTAGGCACAAACGATGATGCCGTCAACCTTTCCATTCCCACCTTTCCAGGCTCTGTGGTCGATGCGTGAACGTGTCACGGAGGCGCTGACTCATGATGGCTTCACCTACAAGTATGACATCTCCCTTCCGGTGGAGCGGATCTACCAGCTCGTGACGGACATGAGGCAGCACCTGGGGGACCGGGCCAAGAGCGTGGTGGGATACGGACACGTGGGTAAGACTGATTATAACAAAAGCTATGAAGAAAGTGTATCAGGAGATTTGATGTCATGGTACCTTTCAGCATCTTTCCATCTTCATCCGACCTCCGTCCCATCCCTCTCTGCCCTGCAGGTGACGGTAACCTCCACCTGAACATCACTTCTCCTGCTAAAGATCCTGCTCTTCTGGCTGCCATTGAGCCTTTTGTCTATGAATGGACAGCCGGCTGCCAGGGCAGCATCAGCGCAGAGCATGGACTGGGTCTGAAGAAGAGAAACTACATCTACTACAGTAAACCGAGCCAAGCTGTGGCCCTGATGGGTAACATCAAGGCCATGCTGGACCCCAAAGGCATCCTCAACCCATACAAGACTTTACCAGATAATCTGAAATGACTGAGGTAATGTATGTAGAGCTCCACTTCAGCTGAAACCTTATTGGCACATGGTTTGCGTGGCAGCTGATGCCCTTTCCTGGCACACCCTTTTTCACACATTTGCTACAGAGCTGCCGGCTTTGCACAAGACATGGAATTTGCCAAGCAAGCTGCAAACACCATGTGATGTCTGTTGTGTTTCCAAACCTTCAAGTAGTTTCATTTTTATTGTGCACAAAGCATTACTTTTAGGAGCTGATGAACTGAAGTTATGGTTTGAATATTGTTTGATCTACCTCTGCTAATTGTACTGACAAAGTATCCTTAGTCTGATGCAGTCCTTGTCCTATTTAATATTCAACAAGTTTCAGATTTTGCATTACGGATGCTTTGTAAAGCTCAAAACAGATTTTTCAGTGTTGAAGCAAAGTGAGCAATCATGACTGTCTTCTCTTTAGTGTGTCTACTAGTTGCCACTAGAGGGCAGACAGGGAATGACAGTGGGAGTAAAGAAATGTTTGGATGAACAGTGAAAGTTTTTGTGCATTTCTATGTATTAAAATAAATACTGAAGGCCACAACTTGTGACGAGTGGCCAGCTCTGTTTCTGTCACCATCCAGGCGATCTGCATTTAAATGGTTTGATTGGGAAACATTGTTTACTGCCAGCAAATTAAAGCATTTTAATTTGTAGACTAAAATCACATGCTGGCTAATCATTAGGCAAGAGTGCAGTAAATGTTTTATTACATATAAAAAAGACAAAGCAACATTTTTTTTTTCCCAAAACAAAGCCAGCATCTGTGAACAAATTCTTTTGTACACCTAGGCAACGTTTAAACCTAATCTTCAATGAAACAGATGAAGTTGAAGATGGAGTGGTTTGTTTTTTTCTCCATTATTCACACAACTTGTACAGTGTGGCATGACTGAAGACGACAGGAATAAATGGAGGCCCAGCTCGCTACAGAAAGAATTTACCTCCAGCATCTTAAAAAAAAAAAAAAACATCAGCTTTACCACAGACGAGTCCTTCTTGATTCCTCTCTACTGGCTCAGAAGAGTTTTTCCAAATCGGCCACAGTGAATATGTAAAGTACGCCGAGCGGAGAGGATCAGTTCACTTCATGTTCTTATTTTGAGATACAGACTAATTCCTTTCGGCAGATACTTTCTACACAAACGCGTCTGTAGTGTTTTATCCTGTTTTTTTTTCCCTCCATACAACAAACAAACAAACAAACTTAGTGGGAACAACTGTCCTACTCTTTTTCCACTATTTCTCAACAAATCATTTCCTATTCGATCCCATAATGACAACAAGGGTACAGAAAGTCCAGTAGAGTAAATGCCTATATATGTATACAGTCAGTTTCACGCACCATTGTACATCAGTCTTACATATCCTCAGTAGTGTGGTAACAGTGGAGATTCAATACATAAATATCATACTATTTTTAAAAAGATTTAAAAACAATTTTTGATTCTATTGGCTCTTCTCCTTTTGTTAGTGAACATATTGTGTTTTGTGGCGATAGTTGGCATGTTATAATAAAGCTAAATGAGTGAAATATTTTTGATTGTCTCTGAGCAGAATGCCACAACCGCATGCCAAACAAAAAAAAAAAAGAAACGCTGGCTGGAGACCACAAATTCAATTGCAAGAGACACTCAGTATGTAGTGTTTGGTGTGTGTGTGTGTGTAGGAAGGCCAAACCCAGAGCAGTCTTAAAGGGGCGTTAAAGCTTTGGGGATGGGGATACTACAATATGCCGTCCGTTCACACTCAGTAACAGTCCACAGTTCAGGTCAGTGGGAACACGCTGGCAAATGGTTTGTGTTCCGTCATAGCAAAGGCTGGCTTATTCAGACATGTCCAAACGTCTGTGTGGGCTTCAAGTCAAACAGAGGGATGTCAGTCGAAGGCAACCACAGAGAAAGGAAGAGAAAGTGAGAGAGCGAGAGAAGGATGAGGCTGGATGACACTTGAACGACTCTTTCCTCGAGTCCTCTGTCCGTCCCCCTACTTGCCCTCTCTCTTGTTAGAACAAACACCGGGCTCTTGTTAAGCCGATCCCTGACATCAGGCAGCTGCCTCTGGAGCTTTTCACCCTCTCACGACTCCTTGCCCTTCTCCAGAGAGCTGTGAATTTTGTCCAAGGTCTTCTTGATGCGCAGCGCCGTTAGCCTGGCAGAGGGGTTCTGGTACCAACACTCCTTCATCAGCTTCACCAGTGCAGAGAGAGTCTGAGGAAGGAAGAAACAGAACATAAAAGAAGAGTCATGCAGCGATGCACCCACTGTGAGAGGAAACTCCACAATCAATGAGAGCCTTCAGATGTAGAAGGCCATTCTGGGTGCTGGTGGTGTGCTGCTGTCTCACCAACACTGGTGTCAATCTCTCACCATGTTTATTTTACCTCATCTAACCTCCTGTCAGGCTCATACAAGTACACAAGAGGTGTCTCCAGTTTGTATCCCCATCATGTAAATATTTAAAGCAGGACTTGCCTTTTATTTAAATGTTCTAACTGTTCTCTGAAACGTCTTGTTTGACTAGTTTCCATATAAATCTAGTGCAAATTCTAACCAAATTTCAACAAAATTAGCACACAAAAAAGTTCTATTAATACACGTTTCCATCTACCACAGTTATGTGAACATTAGGAAGTGGTTGAAGTTGGAGGCACGACATTTTCAATCAGACAACAATCAACAATATGATGCAAGTATGATTGCAGTTCAAAAAGTCTCTTTCCAGTGCACTTTACGTCTTTTCCATCTCAGCCAAGCATAAAAATGATTTGATTATTTTTAGTGTTTCCATCAGAATGTTTTTTAATGTGCAAACTGAAAACGTTACTAAAAAAACTGGTCAATGGACGTCCACCTGTTGGCATTTTAAAAAACACACTCTTGTGATGATCAAATCAAGACATATAAAGTCCTGGTTGCCAACTCTTTTCACTTATGTCCTCCTGATATGAAGCATCAAAGTGAATCCTAATGGGCTCATAATGTGTCTCAGTCTGGAGCAGTTCAACTACGGTGACTTCCCCTTCTTACATCGTTTTGTTTAGATCATATTTTGATCTGATATTTGACATTTTGAAATAAACATGCTTCTGTATTGCTGTAGCACATTTTGGTTTTGCACAGTAAAGATTATTTGCGTGGATAAATGAAGTGAAAGTTTATTACTCACAGGATCAGAGAACCAACGATTAGGAATGAACGGCCTCTGCTGCTCCACACACACCACCTTCCTCATGTCCTCAAAGCTGGGGTCATTTGGCACCTGATCGTAAAACGGAGGTTTGTACTCTTCAACAATACCTGCAAAGTGAAATAGTGATGATAGAAATTAGTGAAAATGACAAGAGCAAAATAACATCCTTTATATATCTTTTATATATAAATATATATATATATATATACATATTTCTTTTCTATATACCCCCCATTCAGAAGCCCATTTTCATATTCTGTTTGCACTATTTCTTATATTTATATGTACTTTTTTTTTTCTCTCGTATATGTGTATCTCTGTTTAATGCTGCTACCAACGTGAATTTCTCCACTGTGAGATAAATAAAGGCATATCTTATCTTATCTTATCCTAACCACAGGACTTGACACCACAATGCATCAGTCAAGCTGATCGTTTCCCAAACAGCAGCAACAATGCTTTCATACCTCAGACAGGTATATCTGTGATATGACGTCACCATGTCACACTTGTGTTAGGTCAACAGCAATGCGCTACATGCAGGACACTCACCATTGCTGTATGTGCGTCTCGCTATCTCCCACAGCACCAGTCCAAAGGCCCATATGTCCACTCTCTTGTAGGCATCGAAGCAGTCTGTCTGAATGGTTTCGTCCAGCACTTCAGGTGCCATGTAGCGTTTGGTGCCAACCTTCGGATTGTTGCCCACATCTAGCAGGTTGTCTGCCTGGGAGTGGGTCACAGCCAGACCTGTAACATGCAGTCAGGCACAGTATTATAGCAGGACTTCAAAAAGATCCGTCCTAAAATAGAAATGGTGCCGCATACACGCGATTATGTGCCAGGTAAGAGGTTTGAAATGGACAGAAATGCGATGTAGTGGATCAATATGAGAGGTGAAAAGCACTGCAATCCCACATAAATAATGCAACTTTTAAAGCATCAAATTGACCTTGAGTACATTTGCACAGTGCATTTTTGTGATTCATGCTGTGCGCTTTTTTTTCCATCATTCATGATTTTGTTTGGGGAAAAATGTATTCATGACTAAACAAGACACTAAATATTACTAAAACTTTCAGACAAGACAAATGTAGATATCCTGTCCTTGATTTCATTACGGCATGTGAAGGTTTACGAGGTGTTAATGTTTAATTAACTGATGTTTGTGCAAGTCCTCTGAACAGGTAGCACTTGTGTTTAATATGGCTAAAGGTTGGCTGAAGCTCTGTTTTAAATAACTGAATGTCTAAAACCCAAGAACAAGCAGATAAATAGTTATAGGAGTCAAACTACTGGAAAAATGACTGACCAAGGTCTGCAATGCAGCAGCGCAGCTCCTTGGTCACCAGGATATTTTTGCTCTTCAGGTCTCGGTGTGCGATGGCCGGTTTCCCCTCTGTGCCAAAGATCTCTGCGTGCAGGTGCACAAGGCCACAGGCTATCGACGCCGCCATCGCCAAGCCCTCTGACGTCTCCACTGCTACTCGCTGCAAGTAGTCGTACAGCGAACCGTTTTCATGGTAGTGGGTGATGAGCCACAGCTGAGTGCTGGAGTTTCGAGAAGTCATGTCAGACGCCATGAACCCTGAGAGGAGAGTCAGGGGAGGCAGCAGAGAGAAAAGAACAGGTAGAAACAAAATGTAAGAGATCATCCAACTGTATAGAATTCATTCAGAGTTTAGTTAAGTTCTGTTTTGCTGAATAGCTTCCTAACATCTTGCAGTGGTGTTGCTTTTGTACTGTGTCTACTCTCTGTGTGTCGATTCCTTTTAAACATCAATGTAGGAAGCATTAAAGCACATTGAAGGAAGTTAAACGAATGGATTACTGGAAAACACACCTGTCTGATGTAGTTAATATGTTACAGTTGTGTCATTACAGTTTTGTAATTTTATTCTGGGGGGTCTGCTTGAATATGTTCACATGCTTCAACATTCAAAAATGTTGTCAAGCCAGCTGTTAGACATACGAGGAAAATGAGGAGTTTCAGGCATGTAAGAAGCAGATTTTCTGTGAGACAGAAAAACTCCCTTCAGGCATGTGCTGTTGGCTTTGTAAGTCTGCAGACCTTTGGCTGGAGAATACATTTATGGAAGGAGAAAATCCTTCAAAAGCAGAATTTCAGACTCTTAAAGAAATTCAATGCACGTGTATTTGGTGGTCAGACAATTTAATCAAAGAAGTTGTTTTAATGTTTAGCTTCTTTCTTCTTTACACTTGCACAGACAGATCGAGCATTTAGTGCAACCGACTCACCCAGTATGTTTTCGTGTCTCAGCAGCACTGTATTGTAGATCTCCGTCTCCCTGAACCAGGACTTCTCATCTCTTGATGAGAAAATTTTCACAGCCACGTTCTCCCCCTGCCACTGGCCTCGCCACACCTCTCCATACCGTCCCTTGCCTAAAAAAATACCACAAATAAACGAGTGATAAGAAATGAAGCACGAAGTCAGAGAAGAAAATATAGATACACATATTTGGATAGGGTAATTGCTGTCTGAATATTAAAGTCTGAGAAGCACTTTTTAGGCCATTTTCAGTCCATTCTATGACTGTATTTATACAGCAGCTGGAAAAACTGTGAGTCTGATTTGTCTGACACTGATCTGATGTTTCCACATCCACAGCACAACGCTGCATTCTTCCAATTCCAAACTAGTACAAACTGTACTGTAAAGTACTGCAGTACAAAACAGGATCCCAAGACATGTGGCCTACATACTTTTATTTGAACGCTGAAATTGAAATTTGTCAGCGTTTCCATGACATTGAGTAAACTTACATCAACAACAACAGACGTGTCACAATTTTCAACGTGGTCAAGAAGACACAAGACTGGATAGAAAAGGGAACTTGTGACTTGTGGTTGAACAGTTTCTTTAGGTAAGTCAAAAAGAATCCGACCTCCTGTTATTACCTGTACATCATCTGACATCTCTGTCAGATTGGTATCTTAAAACTGGTTACAGCCAAGAGTGGATCTGCACAGTCATCCAAAAAATGTACAGTCAACTGAAACTGAGCATGAAGGACTACAGTCTGCATGTGACTTAGTGAGACAGTTCACTGCTTACTGTTGGGAAACTGGCCAATAACTAAACAGACTGTCTTCTCTCCTGGTTATAATGATAATAACTGACAACAATATGCTTTCTGTGCAATTAAGATGCTCTCTCGGCTACTTCTGGGTTAATATTTTTGTACTTTTTTCACATATCATTTGTGACATGAGTTTCCTCAGAAAGACACTCATCACATCAGTCAGTCAGAGATATGAATCTGCCCTACACATGGCCTGTGTGCTACACTTACCTACACACTCCATCAGACTAATTTGCCTGGCCACAGTTCTCTGGACGAGGAAGGGAAGACCTGAACCACTGCCTGATGTGCACGAGTGATCCAACAGGTCCTGGACACAGAGACAGATATAATTTTAGCTGTGTATGCAACAATCTGCAAAAGGAGCACAGTTATCCACGCACCACATGTAGGTGGAATGCATTGAGAGAGATTCCCCTGGGATGAAAACATTGTGCACTTTTAAAAAATGTGCTTTGGAGTCAGCATACAGCTTTTTGTTCAAGTAAAAATCTTTTCTTGTATAAACATTTAGGACATATAATGGTTCAAATAACTGCATTTTATGTCTCCTCCACAACTTGGAATCATTCCAGCAAACCTTTAATGAAAGCACCACGCTGGTAAATTGTCAAAGGGACAAATACCCCACCACTACAGATGTACACACTGTTAAGGCTGGAAGTAGAGATGGCATTCATTCTGCTGTGAATCCCTTTTCATGGTTTCAACAGGAAACTCTGTTCATTCATACCGCTAAAGTGCTGTCTCCCACATTGGAGGTGATGAGTCCGTCTATGGCTCCCTGCTCGGTGTCAAACTCCTGCAGCCTCTGCAGACGGCCGTGGTGCAGCCTCCTGCAGGCCAGCACTGACACGACAGACAGCAGAGCCAGAACCACCACAGGGCCCAGTACAAAGAGAGCTAATGTCTCCACACGATACCGAACCGGCTCATTTTCTGGGGCTGTGGGCAAAAGTGCAGAGTGAGGAAAGAGACAAATAGGTTAGTAAAACGCCTGAGCTACAGACTATTCATCTCTTTGCTGACAAGAAGCCTGTTATGAGCTGCTATCAACCTGATGGAAGCAGAGTCATCAGAGAGCTCCTGGTGGTGTTGCTGTTGCATCTGTCCTGGGCGCAGCAGAGGATGGCCTGGTGGAAGGATGGAGCTGTGGAGCACATTAGACGGATTTTCTCCGGCCCTTTCAGGCAGCCGCGTTCAAACACAACCCCGCTGCTGCCAACTTTGACAGAAGAGAAGCACTGGGTACCATGGCACTGCGTGGACTGGAGGCATTTGGGGCCGTCACATAGACACAGCAACTGTCCATCTGTGAAAGACAGTTTGTGAGCACACCATACACTCTGTGAATGTATATAAGGCTGCACGCCAACAGAAGCACGTCTGTCTCACCAACTTTCTCGCTCACACTCAAACGAGCGAGCTGACCATCTGGCACAACATAACTGTGAATTCACACTAAAAGACAGACAGTGGGCACTGTAGTCACCCTCTAGCAGTCATCCCCAGGAGGTGGACACCAACTATGACCAAATGATGTCTGCAGTAGCAACAAATGAGCATGATCACAAGATGAATTTTCCACTTTTCCTCTTTATCCATTTCAGCAAAATGAGCGTGGTTAATAATTCAAACACAGCTCACAGTCAAATGGCAATTGATTATCAGTTTTTTTTCTCCACTATTAATACGTAACACATTTGTAACAAGAAATTATGGCTCAATACAATTTTTCCAAACAGTCAAAGGCAGTGCATTGCTCAATTCTTAAACACAGGATACCATGTCTCTTAAAAAAAATAAATAAAAATCACAATGCAGCACTATTGTTATTCCTTTGCCAGTGCAACCACAGAAGACACACAAATTCAGTTCAGTTCATATTTGCAAGGATGGAAATATCAAATGTTTTATTTCTGATGGTTAATCCTAAAAAAATGCTTCAGAGCTATAGGTTGTACCTGTTGATAATAACAGGTCAGGGTTTTGTCTGGCTCAGAAAGGGCCTTTGATGGAGGACAACAAACAAATCTGGATCTGTGTTAATTTATTTGACAAAAAGTCTTGGATTAAAAGAAAAAAAAGTCTATTATGTTCAAGAAACTCAGAGGAAGAACCTTAGTTAGAAAATGTAGTTGTTATTTGTCATCCTAATTCTGATCAATTTGATGGTGGTGATTGGTGTTTGCTACAACCGATGTGGAGGTTTCTTCTGTAAAAGAAAAAAAACTTGGCCTATGTACTGTATTTATCTTGTTACCTAACCCAGGTTTTACAACTCAGCAAGCCTGTTATTTACAGCAGGCCGTGGATGTGCTGGAGTCAGTCTGAGAGTTGGAGGGAAAAAGTAAGCAGAAACCAATTTAGTTATAATTGTGTAAACACCATTTTGTTTCCTGCTCTAATTACTTGTTTCCATTGGCTGACTGTTGATGTGGTACAGCGAGGAGCTGCACAAATGCCATTGATTAGTTTAGTAGTTGTTGTTTTCATGCCAAAATATGAAACATTTGGGAGTTCCAGCTTCTCAGATGTGACAGGCTGCTACTGTGACGGGCTTACATGATGGTAAATTGAATATTTTTGTGCTTTGGGCAATAAAAATACATTTAAAACACTCCACCATACATTGTACATACAAGTTATTCTTTGTTTTCTGATATTTTAAAGACTAATTCATTAGTTGATTAACAAAATAATTTCCAAATCTGAGTTAGTTGCAGCCCCACATTGTTTACATGTGGGGTAAGCTTAATTAATTTCTATCAGATGTTTTGCTTGAACTTCAGACTAGGTCGCTTCTGAAGATCAAACTGTTTATCATCATCTAAATAACAAATGTTTCGTCATCTGCATGCACTTCAAACTTCTCCTCAGCTTCAACTCTTTGCTCCAGGTCCTGGCATGGTGTTGTTTCCTACTATATGTAGTACTGTCCCGCTAACAAGTGAAGTGTTGTCAGGAAAATACAGTATGTTGAGTTGAGCCATTGTGCTAGAGTACACAGCAAGAACAGACAACAGGTTAAGATGCATCACACTGCACAACAACAAATAGAGACACAACTGAGTGGAGTACCTGAGCCCTCAGCTGATGTCCGCAGAGCCTGCAGCAAGAGCAGCAGAAGGACGTGGACACTGCAAAGACCCATGTTTCAGTGCACTGGCAGAGGGAGGGGAGGAAGGGAGAGGAGCCAGAGAGAGTTCAGATGAGTACACTCTTGCAAAGTGGATAATTTGATCCTGCCAAGGCTTCAGACAGAAATGGAATAACAAATTATAACGGCTAAATGAGTTTTCTATTTGTCTTTGAAAGGCTCACCTAAATTATTATCATGGATTCAACTGCAGTCGTTTCACCTCCAAATGTGTGTAATGTCTTTATCATAACATATTAAATTCATGTAGGTAGTTTTTAAGTTGTTACTTATTGCTTTAAAGACGGTATTTAATCTACTGTACATGTTCCTCTGCAGGCTAACAATGAAAACAAATAATACAGTTCTCGATGGGAAGCTAGCACCTGAAATTTCAATGTCACAGCCTCTGCTATTGAGGTAAAGTCTGCGAACAAGCCGAGCTACCACCGACTCCTTCGAGGTAAATCTCACAGACTGGAGGCCTGCATGTTTGCTGTAGCTAACAGGCCATTAACAAGCGGGTTTATTGGCCGTTCACAGCCGCCTCGGAGGCGCCAGTCAGACAGGCGGCTGCCCGATGCCGCTGCCACCGCTGTTAGCGCTACGAGCTAAGCTAGCCGGACAGCACAAAGCGCAGCCGGGCGAGGACTGGCGAAAGTCAGCGATGAAATACACCCACCTACCTGGCACACTCGAGGCACGGCTTCTAACTCATTCTGCGAAGTTTGTGTATCCGTATGTGGGGTTTAAACACGTGTATCTGCGTGGTTTGCGGTGTTAGAAGCGCCGAGAGCAGGACCACAGCCCAGCCCACCCACTGGCTGTTTTCCCTTCCAGCCACGCATGACGTCACCAAAACATTAGCACCGCGGTGCATTGTGGGGCGGAGGAGTCCTCCAACAGGTTGTAAACTCACCAGAGCACCAGTGGCATGAATGTGAACATCCAGAGAGGAATAACATCGCTCATGTTTATATGACAGTTTAGTAAAAGCAAAACATTAGTGGTTTCCTCAGCGGTTACTCAACTTCATGTTTTCCCCAAAGTCTTTCCTCTCTGCTACAGTGAATTACTGCAGGACCATGTAAGCAAAGCCTCTAATAATAAGCAGTGGGAATATATTTAAGATGTAAGTATTTACGCACAGTGTTGAGGCACTTGTTCCTTGCCTGAGTATCTTAATCTTATGCCACTTTATACTTCAATAGCTGCATGTAGAAGGAAATATTGTCCTTTAATGTCAAAACAGTCATTTAACAGACACAATTAACTTTATATTTTTCAGATCAAACATTTTATATGTAAAATGTATGTCTGTTTTTTTAAATGATGCATTTTTACAATTTAATCCACTTTAACCAACAAAAAAAAACCTTCCATAATATAACAGTACATGTAATGACAGTCTGTCATGATGAAAAATGTATTGTAAGTGTGTATATTTACGGTGACTGTATTTTATTTATTTTTTTTTATAAAGAGAGAGAGAAAGAGAGAGAAATTATATGTATATTTACTGGTGTATCTATAGTTTAAAACAAGACATTTTCCTGTTATTTAATGGCACAGCTTTCATTTAAAAAATGGACATTTGCTGTTATTTCATCATGTATGTACAGTGAAAATGCAAGATCCTTTCTGCTATTTAATGGTATATCTATGGTATAAAAACTGCAAATGTTAGGTAAAATCCTAAAGTAACAGAAAAAGTACTGGAAGCTCATTACCCAGACTTTGTTCTGTAATTAAAAAACAATAATTCTCTGTTAATTTAAGGTACATTTGCGTAATGTTTTTAAAGACCAATTTTTTCAATACTATACATACAGCATGGGCGACACGGTGGCGCAGTTGGTAGCAGTGTTGCCTCGCAGCAAGAAGGTCGCCGGTTCATGTCCTTCACATGTTCTCCTCGTGCAGTGTGGGTTCTCTCCAGGTTCTCCCAAGCAGCTGCTGGGTATTTGTTACTCCTGTTGCACTTTTAGTCACTGAAGGCTAATGTTTCATGTAAAGTCCTGCACCTCTATGGAAACAGAAATGGTGAGACCACAAAAATGACCTTTTGTGCATTATCACGAAGGTTAAATACCATAAATCACAATGTAAGTTGCATTTCTACTTTACAACAATTGAAACAAAATGAAATCACGTGTACAGCATTTTACAAAACACCTACAGTTGTTACACATATTAGGGGAAAAATGGCTGCTTTTACATGCTATAGGAATTTCACTTTTTACATTTTAGTGCAAGGTGGCTCGGTGGTTAGTACTGTTGCCTCGCAGCAACAAGGTCGCCGGTTCACATCCCAGTGGGGGCACCGGGAGCTTTCTGCATGGAGTTTGCATATTCTCCCTCTGCAGTGTGGGTTCTCTCCGGGTTCTCCGGCTTCCTCCCACACAGTCCAAAAACATGTTGAGGTTAATTGGTGATTCTAAATTGTCCGTAGGTGTGAATGTGAGTGTGCTTGGTTGTCTGTCTCTAAGTGTAGCCCTGTGATAGACTGGTGACCTGTCCAGGGTGTCCCCTGCCTTCACTCTAAGTCAGCTGGGTTAGGCAGCAGTCCAGTTCTGCCTCCAAAGCCCGCCATTTACGTCAGCGCCGGGACCACCGTTAGCACCCTTCGTCAGATGGTGTGTCATGCTGCTGCATGTCTGAAAAGATATGCAGTGAAGCTGAGCGGCCGACAGCCAAACAGTGATGACTCAGACGAAAGTGCTGAAAGCATCAAATCCAGCATTTGTGTTGCTGCAGTGACCGGTTCTGTGAGGAACATTCTGGACAAATGGTCCCCAAAGTCAGCACCCATCTCGGAAGAGGCTCCTACTGTTCCCCCACCGATCAGCCACACTCCGGAGTCTGAACGTGTTGCAGCTGATATTGTGAGGATGATAGTCAGCAACCTGCATATATGAGAGTCTGGAAGTGGAACTGCATCCCCAGAAAAATCCCCAGAAAAATCCCCCAGACCTCATTTTAAAATGGACCTGATCATAAATAAGGTCAGGAACTTTTTCGCCTCACATGCTGCATCTTCAGAAAATGCGGCCGGAGCCAAAGAGGTTCGCCAACGCAGTCACTTTTCCAAGGCTGCCAAAATGCAGTTTGAGAAAATGGTTTCAGACCTGAAAAGCACCCTTAAGAGGAAAGATGCGGAGTTCCTTGTGGATGTGGAGGAGCAGGAGTCTCAGGAATCAGACGACAAATGCCATTTACCTGGAAGCGTTCCGGGCAGTCCCAGGTCGGTCCAGCTCAGACACTCACCGAGCTACCTGGTCGTCTTACCAAGAGGTTCCAGAAAAGACTCATTAGAGTTTGACAGCATCAAGCCCGGTCTTGACAACTTGTATGACATGTTAAGCCAGTCAGATAAAGCTGGAAAACATGTCACACAAACACAGGCAAGCATCAGGGAAGCAGTCAGGCAGTACGCAAGGGAACTGAATGAAAAAATGTGCTGTCATCTGATGGATGGTTCTGCATATTACGTTCCCGTCACTGAGCCGGGAAAATCTCTGTCCGAACAAGTCCTCTCCAAGACCAAGCGGCACAGGGACAGCAACCATTCCCATGAAGTCTGGTACGTCATGACGGGGGACGCGGTGGAAAAGTACCTGCAAAACCTGTTGTTTTGCGCCCAGGAGCCATCAGCATCGCTTGAAATGGCTCACAGTGAGGAAGTGGCCGCAGCCTGAGAGGACATCGAAAACGTCTTCATCAACACAACAACTCGGCCTGAAGAAAGCATCACGGAGCAAGAGATTCCTGCAGCACCTGCTAGTCCCAGTCCTGTTCCAGGCTCCTCTAAACCTGATGTAGAATCCATCTGCAGTGATGATGAGGGCTGTGAAAAGCACTGTAGACCGGTTGTAGCCGTCACATGGTCACAATCTCTTGACAGTTTGGTTTCAGTCCATGAACAGTCTGAGCCCAATCAGAGCTCGTCTTCATCACAACCAGGGACGACAGACGTCATCGCTGCTCCTCAACCTGAGGCTGAAACCCCAAGAACAGAAGAACGCCATCAGCATTCTGCTTCAGCAGGGGTTCAAGAAATTCTTAGATAAAGCCACAGCACAGAGCACCATAGAGGACTGCCAGGCCGTCCTAAACCGTCTGTTGGAGCTGAAGCTGGATGACATCCACGTCCCAGCTGACAGAATATTCAAGAAGATGGACAAATTAGCCAAAGCTGTAGAGAAAGACCTTCGCAAGGCGTTTGGCCCAGACCTGGTGACCTGCTCTTTGTGAGAAGATTCGGCTTTTGATGACACTGTTGTGAAGATCCTTAAAACGCATCTCCACGCCGTCACGCAACCAAAAAAGAAGTGTGCTGTCGCCAGGTTCTTCTCAGCAGTGGGAAGAGCCCTCACAAAACCCTTCAAACGCTGCGTCTCATCCACCACCTCCACCGTTTCTTAGCAGGTTAAGAAGCCTCCTGCCTCCAGATCAGCTGACTTCTCGTAGGTCACTTGACATGGAGGCAGCAAAAGTTCAACATAGAAAACGGGGTTCCTTCAAATTGAAGGACTAATTAGATTAACAGATTTTCTCACGGCACACATGTAACAGCAGGTGATGATTCACCGAAAGTCAACATGTGCCCTGTGAGAAAACTTGGCTTACAAACAAGCAAGTCCAATGTGAAAGTACAGTTCAAACAATTTAAAGAGAATATCCAAATTTAAACTACTATTGGAGTATAAAACAACAAAACAACTCAAGTTGAAACTACAATTAGAGACTGAAATAATAAAGAAAAAAAAAGCTTAAGTTGAAAATAAATTGGAGACCAAATTAAAAGAAAAAAAAAGAAAAGTAAAAAATACAATTGGAGGCCAAATAAAAAAATCCCCCCTGATGAATCGCCACCTTATCGCGGTGGAGGAGTTTGAGTGTCCCTGTGATCCTGGGAGCCATGCTGTCTGGGGCATTAGCCTCTGGTAGGGTCTCCCGAGGCAAATTGGTTCTGGAGGAGGGACCAGACAAAGAGCGATTCAGAGACCATGATGACATCAAAAAGAAGAAAAGCCGCCACCTCCAAAATCAAAAAAATGTGTGAAAAAACAAACAAACAAACAACAAAATAAAATTCTGTCAGTTTGGTTTAAACCGCCTTCTTGTCACGTGTTGGAAGTTTGAACCATAATTGCACTTCACTACAGAATGTGTTTGCTCTGATGTCTGAATGACATGAACAGACTTTTCTGTCAGTGAACGTTGTTCTGTGTTCTGCAGGATGGAGGTTCTTCAGTGAATCACATCTGAACCAAATGCAGCGACACTTCTCCTGAAGAGTCACAGCGTCTGCTGTGAGAAAACTCTCAACATCAGTGAAGCAAAAAAACCCCCCCAAAAACTATGAAATGGAATAAAGACTGAATCCACATTTATATTTCATTCAGATTTTACTTGTGCTTTCCTCTTCTGTCAGGTTTGACTAAACTCAAGTTGAATTAATTGTGTTTAAAGGTTTGATTTTTATAAGTTACACACATGTGAAACATTAGCATTATTTTCCACTTTAACTGAGTAAAAGTTTTAACCAGAAACAGTCCTGATCATAGCTACCAAATATTCATACCAAATTATAATAAAGTTCTATCCATCCATCCGTCTATCTATCTATCTATCTATCTATCTATCTATCTATCTATCTATCTATCTATCTATCTATCTATCTATTCATGAATGTTCAGCCTTTGAGTCCTTTAAATTACATGATGCTTCTGTTATTTTTATGAAAGATATCTTATTTTCAACATACTAAATGTTTTGTTCTTCTTTCATTATAACAGTGTGGGATTTGTCAGTGA